GCGGCACGTGAAAAAATCATTAGACAATCACGAAACTTCACAAAATGTATTTTTTTAACCTATAAAACAATTCTAGGGGGCGTCCTGATTGAATTTAATAAAAAAAAAAATGACCTAGGTAGATAAGGACCACCTTACTGTCACAGTCACGGAGATTTTGTCAATTATTACTATCAATAGATATAATTTCTGCATTGCCAGCCAATGTTTTTATAAATTCACAACAATTTGTCTTACTACCATTGATAATAAAGGCTATATACCTGCGAATATCGTCATAAAAAACAATTACCCACCTGTATTTGTAATCCCTTATGTATTATACATGTATATTAACTCAAAGAAATTTGAATCTTTAAATGTTCATATCTAATAATAAACAATGAAAATTTGTTTATATATATGATATTGATGATACTCACACATGTACGGAAACGAAAACCAAAAATAAAATTATACAGGAATAGTGTTCTTGTTGTTAGGTGAGCGGGGTGGGGTGAATGCGTTACAGCAGTCAGTCTCAAGGCCATAGACGACATGATACGCGAGAATAATAACATGTGGCGCGTAGAGAATTACAAACATAATATAAGTGTGCTAATATGAAATGATCTTACTAAGAAAATAACTGATGTATAAATACTTTTGGACCAGTAATTTGAAACGTCACAAATTCGAATGTGAACCGTTTATATATTTTTTTTTGTTATGTTTACTTTTTTATTTGAGATCACGCTAGATTTGACGACAAGACAGAATAAATATAATGAAAACCGAATTATTTATCGGTATTGATGCCTCGCAAAAAAATAAAGTTGATACCCCTTTAAGTTATATGGGGTAATTATTTTTATTTCATTTTACAATAAAAAATACAATGTAAGTAAAATATATAAAATAAGTTCATCCCTTATAGCTGGTAAGGATGAACTTTGTTTTTTTAAATGGGAATATTTTAAATTTAATAATAACTAATAGTAAATAGCATTTGAATTTTTAGTGTAACTTTATTTGTTTATTAGATATAAACATTTAAAGTTACAAATTTTTGAATTAATATACATGTATAATACATAAGGGATTATAAATACAGGTAGCTAATTGGTTTTTTATGAAATTGCTATCACAGTCACGGATTGTTTATTATCAATTATGACTATCAATAGATAAACTTTCTGTATTAACAGTTAGTGTAATTATAAACTCACAACAATGTGCCTTACTAACATTGATAATAACAATTCTGTGTACCTGCGTATATTGATGTTATATGAATTGACATACAAGTTATAAAGGTTGATTCAAAAAATTAATTATTAACTGATAAATCAAGAAATGTATGTAATTAAAAAGATCCCTTTGTAAAATTGTGATACATAGTCCAAGTGTTAATAGTTGTATTACACCCCAAAATTTATTCTTAATTTATAAAAATTTGTTTTGATTCAATAATGCAGAATATTTTCGATTTTAAGAAAAAATATATGGGCGATCAGAAAAAGAAATACTTATTTTTAAAAGACGGTAACATTTATGTGTTGTTTATCAATTTCGCTACCAGTTCATACAAGAACGATAAGAGTGTAAAGATAAAGATTCGTAAAATAAAAAATTGTTTTAATAAAATAAATATTTTTTTAATTTAATAAATCTGACGATAAAAAAAAAATTGGTTGCATTACAAAAATCGAATGTTAATAAAATTTTAGGGTGTAAGGGGTGATAGAAAAAAATAAATATATTGCCTAAAGCAATTGAGAAATAATTATTTAAAAAAATAATATTGTGATTCGCTCTTACATATTTCGTGAGGTATAGATGAGGAATCTCTCTGTATAGAGGGTGATTTTTTTATCATAACCCACTCAATTACTTACAGAATAATAATAATTTAAAATTTTTTTTTTATTTCTATCTTTAGTTACACATTATTCTTGAATTATTAACTATGTAATACTTTTTAAGTTCATCCCTTATGCCTGGTAAGGGTGTCAACTTTGTTTTTTTAAATGGTAACACATATTTTTAATTTAATAAAATGTTTGAGTTTTTAATTCAATAATAAATGGCATTTGAATTTTTAATGAAACTTAATTTGTTTATTAGATATAAACATTTAAAGTTTCAAATTTTTTAGTTAATATATAGGTATAATACACAAGGGATTACAAATACAGGTAGCTAATTAATTTTTAATGACATCGATATTAGCAGGTACACAGCATTGTTATTATCAATGATAGTAAGGTACATTGTTGTGAGTTTATAAGTACAACACTAACTGACAATACAAAAAGTATATCTATTGATAGTCATAATTGATAATAAACAATCCGTGACAGTGATAGCAATATTATAAAAAACCAATTAGCTACCTGTATTTGTAATCCCTTGTGTATTATACATGTATATTAATTCAAAAATTTGTAACTTTAAATGTTTATATCTAATAAACAAATTAAGTTTTATTAAAAATTCAAATGCCATTTATTATTGAATTAAAAACTCAAACATTTTATTAAATTAAAAATATGTGTTACTATTTAAAAAAACAAAGTTGACACCCTTACCAGGCATAAGGGATGAACTTAAAAAGTATTACATAGTTAATAATTCAAGAATAATGTGTAACTAAA